AAACGATCCCAGCGTGACGCACGTGGCCTTGTCCACACGAGCCGGGTCCCTCGTTCGGACATCGCCTTTCTGTCAACGACTATGGCGGCGTAGGACACAACGTGTGTCCTACGCCGCCAATGGCACGTAAAGACACTTATTCGATTCTGCTGGCGCGCGAGTTGGGTGTTATGAGCTTGGCGCGCGTTTTAAAAGACGCGCAAACATATATTATACTGATCCGAGCCAGCCAAAGTTTGGATAGAAATTTTTATAGCATAAATCGGACCGATCGAGTGTGGCTGGGGTGCCTTTTACGAGGGCTATAGCCGTTTTGCCCATGAAACATTCCTTCCAGATACGCTCCCATACGCTCCACAACCTCCTTTGGCAAAAACTGCCGCATAGTTCTGCCACATGATCTACCTCCAAGCCTTCTCCTCACCTTACCTCCTTGAATGAACTCAATATCTCTGACATTGAGTACGCGAGAGGTATGTATTTTGAAATCCTTATCTCCAAAATACAGGGTCTTTGTTTACCAGGTACGGTGTTGTCAATATTAGTGTACTAGTAGACTTACATGCAAAATGGCACTAGTCCTTTTCACGGAGCTGGAGACTGGGTTAGAGTTGTTGCGAACGCATACTAGTACAGCACTTGAGCCCTTATAAACGATAACTATTTTAGACGACGTTCCAGTGGAATCGATCATGTCGACATAAACAGATAGAAGGTTCGTCTCAATTGAGGATAAAGGCGAGGGAGAGAGCTTGCTTTGTTGGTTGGTCCAGTGGTTGGGCGCCACGCATTTTGGCTTGGGCCTGCGCATAGCTCTTTCGCCGCCGAGCGCGCTCTTCGTCCTGGTTTTGCTCGTAGCGCACCTTGAGCTTGGCGAGGACCTTGTCGCGATGCCGTCTGTAGTACGTCTTTGCGCGTTGCCGACTCAGCTCCATTTGCGCCGGCGTTTGCTGGCGACGAGGGCGCGGTGGCGACACTGCTGTAGATGGCGGTGGGTTGGCCTCTGCCATGAAAAAGAATAGTCCGCTGCATTTGCCCTTAGAGCCAGCAAGGAGGGCCGAAAGGTACTACTGTACTATCAATGACTACTACAGTGATACTTTCATATTTACGAAGAGTCGTACCACACGACCACGTGGTGTCGTTGCTGCCAAATCGAAAGTCCCACCCCTATTATATATGAGGTCCCACCGCTATTATCAAGATTATAAAAGATTCGTTTCGCCTCCGACAGAAGCGTACGTAGTAGAATACAAATGTCTAGCACATCACAGCCGTAATACTCGGCTCGTTTACGTTGGAATTATGATAGCGAGTCCTAATTTGACTAACAAATGTAAGACAAGGTGGCGTCCCAGTGCCTAACATTAATGAGTGTTTCTACCTCGTTTCATTTCGAGTCCACTATGAATGTCGGTGTTTTAATTAAATTAAAGAAGTTTCTTTACATGACATAGAAACACCCTGAACGAATATGGTGGCGGCGTAGGACACACGTTGTGTCCTACGCCGCCATAGTCGTTGACAGAAAGGCGATGTCCGAACGAGGGACCCGGCTCGTGTGGACAAGGCCACGTGCGTCACGCTGGGATCGTTTCTGCAAGCATTTAGAAGGACCCACTTTCGAGGACAGCAGCTGGTTTTGACAGGGTGGTTGTGTCGGTGTCGACCACCTAGGGTCTAGAAACTGCTTATTGAGACCACGTGTCAGAGAGTGTAGCTTTCGATGGTCCCCACGTTTTCGCGCACTCGTCGCACGGCACCATGCAAAGTGGTTTTACGGACCTTTGGTAGCCGTCGTTTCGAGTCGACACCTCAATATAAAACTATTGCATTCGTAACGGCTTTAGCTCATCATCAGTATTCGGGCAGAGTTGCAACTTCTCTGCACAGCGTGGTGTTCCCAGAGATACTGGACATGACGACGACACGCTGCGCCTCAGCATGATAATGGCACCATGGGTCTCTCCTGTTTGGGCGCACCCAAACTGCTCCCTACCACTCGATCGGCGTCTGATTTGGAGTGTCTTTCTTCGTTCACTATTTAGCTCGCACGATCGATTCCATGTCCCTACCCGTAAACGTTTCTGTCCTCGGTCGCTCGAGAAAGCCGCAGGCAGTCTTCTACAACAAAACAACCTTCCGCAGCGCTACCACCCCATTGCCTAATCACGATCGGTTCGCACCTGTATAGTACTGAACAGACTAGTATAAACGAGTATCGTCGCCTTCTGGGACCGTGGTCTCTGCAATATTTCCAGTCGCTACCACCAAGGACATTGGCCATCGCTCGTTGTTGTGGTCGTCACGACTTCGTTTGAGTCCTTGTCACGCGTGTCGGTTGGCTCGAGTAGTATTCAACGCTCATTAATGTACACCCACATACTCCTCTCCCTTTGAAGACTACGTTATCAGGTCGCAAAGCTACTCTTTCTTTCCTTTCACACGTGTCGTACGCCCATGGGCGCTTCAACGTTTCTGCGAAAGACAGCCGCGAGTCTTCTATGGCCATAGCATACAAACACCAAGACAACACCTTCCTTGACGACACGCATCCTGGTCCGATACAACGAGCGTCGTCTCATCGTCGTTGTTTAAGACCATGGTCTCCACCATGATGTCCAGTTGCTGCCACCCACCCCGACACCGACGCGTTCGTCAGTGCCCCCGACTTCACTGCTCACTTTCAATTTGGCGCCGTCCAACCTAGTACGCTATGCAGCGCGAAGTGGCAACGACGGACCGCGTCTCGTACATTGCGTCCTTTGACAAGCACGCGGCCGACGGCAACGACTACGAAGATGCCAAGACACCATGTGACCTCGAAGGCGGCGCGCTCCGCGACGGCGGCGCCCTTGTCTACTCGTCGCTCGAGGTCCTCGCGCTCATCTACCAGTACGCGATGGTTGGCATCGTCTACGGCGGCTTCGGTGTCATGAAGTACCCGATTTTGACCGGGTACTTTGGGCTCGAGACCAACGTGCTCAACTCGGCGAACGCGCTTTTGAATCTCGGCTGGTCGCTCAAGTTTGTGTTTGGTATGCTCAACGACTGCTTCCCCATCTTTGGCTACCAGCGCAAGCCGTACATGCTCGTCGGATGGGGTCTCACAGCCGTGCTTCTTGTCGTCACGGCCATTCGCCCGGCGGGCGAGGCCAACTCGCAGGTCGACGGCGCGACGTTTGCGCTTCTGTGCACGTGCACCGGGTTTTGCTACGTCATGGCCGACGTCGCGCAAGACGGCTTGATGCTCGCGTACGCGCAGCGCGAGCCGCTCGCAGTCCGCGGCCGCCTCCAGTCGTACATTTACGGCACGCGGTTTGTCTTTTCGGCCATCATCAGCGCCATCTGCGGCTTCTGCCTCAACTCCAAGCAGTTTGCCGGCCAGTTTGACTGGGACATTGGCGTCAACGGGTACTTTTGGATTCTGGCCGTTCCCGCTGTCATCAACATTCCGATCGTCTGGTTCTGCATCAAGGACACCAAGACCGAGGCGGTCCAGTTCAGCGTCTACTTCAACCAGCTCTGGACGCTCGTCCAGAAGCGCGCGGTGTGGCAGGTGCTCATTTTCAACTTTGTGTTCAACTTTTTCACGACCAGCATCCTCTCGACCGCGAGCTCGTATGTCATGCTCTACTGGGCCGGGGTTGAAAGTCTCAACTACTCGATCATCTCGGTCGTCGGCAACCTCCTCTTTGCCGTCGTGCTCTACGTCACGGGTACGTACGGCACGCACTGGAACTGGCGCTACGTGCTCGTCTCGACCGTCCTCGTCGCCAACGTCATCGACTCGATCTGTCAGTTCTGCACCATCTACGACGTGGTCCGGTACCAGTGGTTTTACCTCGGCGTGCCGCTCCTCGAGCAGATTCCGCTTGGCATCAACTTTGTCGTCGGGACCTATGTCATTGTCGAGCTCGCCGAGCTGGGCAACGAAGGCGTCATGTACGGTCTTCTGACGACCGTCTCCAACCTCCCGGGCACCTTTGGCACGCTCGTCTCCAACGTCATTTGCGCGCAGCTCGCGTTCAGCAAGGCGCTCATCGAGGAAGACGCGCCAGCCACGCGTGACGCCGTCGCGCAGTCGTACTACATTCAGTACGGGTCCATGGTACTTGGGTGCTTGGCCGTCGTCTTGCTCCCGAGCCAGAAGGCCGCGGTCGCCGAGCTCAAGAAGAACGGCGGCAGCCAGCCGCGGATCGCCGCCTTCATCTTTTTCACGCTCTTTACGACGCTGTGCGTGGCCATCACGGGCAGTCTCAGCTCCATGTACGAGAGCACCAACTGCCTCATGCTCGCGGGCGGTGGCGGCTGCGAAGTCGAGCCCTCGGGCACGTACCTCCTCGGCATCTTTGTGCCCGTGGGTCTCGCGCTGCTCTTGATCGCCAAGTTTACCTTCTTCCACTAAGTTGATCGGATGGAGACGCTCTCGATGCTGCGTCGGAGGCTAGCAGCCATTTGTACTGTGTAAAGTGATGTGGCTTTTAAGAGTTGTGCTTGGAGTCTCGATGGATGGCAACAACTACATCCGCATGGGATGTACCACCCTATCGAGTGGCGAACAAGTTGGACCAGGGCACACCAACGACACAAGATACGCCTCGGTGGTAGACGTACGAGTCCACCGACTGGACAAAAGGTCGTCAACGAAGAGCTATCTATATCGTGACGCAGCGGACATCCGTGGTGCTCGCTGCCGAACGAAAACCTCTGTCGCGTGACCCTGCCTTGATACAAAAGCGGCACGCGGATTGGCTGTTGGGAAATCGTTTTTAGCCAATGAAAACGCGTGATGCTTACGGTTGTCGGGTCGCAAGCCGGGATACGAACCGACCGACAGCTTGCACAGTCGTCTAGTCTTTTAGTATACGAATCGAGTTGTCGTCCATCTTTCGTGTTGCAGATGCTTAGCGTCACAATGACTACTCAGCCATCCACGTGGTCCGGGCACAGGCACGGGTTGCAGCGGCAGACCGGGCAGCCGCACGTGTGGGCAAGCACGCGACAGAGGCACGGGTTGCAGTGGCAGTCGGGGCAGGCGCACGTGTCCATCAGCATCGTCGTCGTCGTCGTCGTCGTTGGCATTGTGTGGTTGTCGTCGTCGCAAGCAAAAGGCAAACTGAATCACGACTTGACCGTCTTATTGTGATGGACTCGCCGTTGCGCTGCCTTTTCCACGAAAAGGAAACGGGACAAGATGCAGAGACGTTGATGGCATTGGGAAAGCATTGCGCTGTCGACGAGTGCCGAGTTTGTAGGGAGCGAGCAAGGCTGTCGCGTCAACAACAGTCCGTGGGATCGCGAGCGTACTCCAGCAAACGACATGGCCTTGCGCAGCGATGGCACGCCAGGGGACATGTAGCCGTGCTTCAAGGCCACGCACCTTGCGAGGATGGACTCGACGCATCACTTCGTCACTTGTCAGCTCGGCGACAGCTGGCACCACGAAAGCCACCAGGCCGAGAGATCGACACTGCGCTAGACGTAATGAGACGTGCTTTATACTTGAGAGCTCTGCACATTTCTATTACCTCGCATTGTGGCAGCCGCAGCCATGAGTGTGTAGCTGTAGCTGGCCGTTGGAGCAGCTACACAGGTTCACCGCGCCAGGATGCCACGTCGCTGCAGCCCAGATGGGTTTCATCCGGATACCATGGCCATGGTGTGGGGGATGGCCACAAAAAATCTACTCAACAGCCGACCGACCAGCATGTACAG